CAGGGCCCGGGGTGCAGGGGGGCGGGGCACGGGGCCAGGCGGGGGTCCCTGCACCCGGAGCTGCCCAGGAGACCCTGCCGCCATCGCCCAGCAGCCTCCGCCGCCGCCGCCCCCGCAGCGCGACCTCCCGTCGCAAACTGAAGGTCGCAAAGCGCTGGTTACCGTGGCGACAGGAGACAAGGCAGAGCCGAGAACCTGCGGCGCAGTTGCCTAGGCGACAGGAGGGTGCGCGGTCAGTGAGCATCCTGGAGCACGGCCACGGTCAGGAAGCCGGGGCTGGCGGCTCCTCCCTAGCACCTGTCGCTGGTCCGCGAGCGGCCTCGGGTTACGGCGCCCGAGGCTCAGGCGCTGCTGTGCGGGCGGGAGGGGCCGCGTCACCCCGCGAGCCGGGCAGCGGCGCCCTGACCCTCCGGGCGGTCGTCTCTCTGTCCGCCCGCTCACTTTGTCGTCCATGAAATGTGCTGTGGGCGTTTCCCTCGGTGTCGCGCGGACCCGCGTTCCGGCGTGAAGGCTCGGAGGCCGGACCCGTCGGCTTGGCCGCTAGAGGGGAGCAGAGCCGCGTCTCAGGGGCGCTGTCCGCGCATGTGATGTGCCTCGGCGTATTGGAGGCTGGAAACCGGTCCCTGCCGAGTCCTAGGAAGACTGATTCCAGGGGCTCCTGCAGGACAAGGAACCTGGGGACTGTGGCTTCCGGAACTCAGGGTTAAGGGCAGGGACTTTCCCGAGATAAGACCCAGGGCAGAGCTACCAGCCTTCGAAGCTGGCGGGGCAGGAGCGAGAACACCGGACTCCGGCCCTTCCGCAGTGTCTTCCTGTGTTCGAGCCAGGCCTCCAAGCTGCTGCTTAACTTTGTCCCCCAGGACCAGGATCCAAGCTGACGAGTTTCCGCTATAGGAGGAAATGCAGGCACGTTTCTACTCCCAGCACCGCGGGGGCGGAACGGAAGCAGGACCTGAGGCCCCCGGGGCTGTGCAGGGGAGTGATGACTGCTGCTTTTGCCTCTGGCTCCTGCACATCAACTTGATCTCCATCATGCCCAAGAAATTGAGGCCATAGAGAGTGGCCAGGGCTGCAGCGGGTGTGGGGCCCTGTTCTGGGACCGGATAGCACAGAGGGGCTGTGCCCTACTTTACCCTGACTATGTCCTCGGAGAAAACAGTGTGGGGAAGGTACGGTCAGGAGCGCGCGGTTAGAGGGCAGGGAAGGGTACCAGGACCTGCTCCCTACCTGCCCCTTAAAGCTGAGACTCACTAACGGTTTTGAAAGTCTCAACCCTCCCAACCATGGCTGTCCCTGAGTCTGATAAGGAGGGTCCTGTTTCCCCAAATCATAGTAAGAAAAAACCTCTAATACATCAGCAACTTGTGATGTGTCTGGCTCAAGGCTGAAAGCCAGTCATCTCCGTAAGGCTGTGGCTGGCTAAGCTCCCAACAGCTGGATTCAGGTATGTTACAGTCCTAGGGCTGAGGTGAGGCGCCGCCCAGGAGGGCGGGGTCATCATGCTTGAATTCTATTGGCTTCTGTCTCTGTTTTGGGCTCTTGCGTTTGCCTAAGTCTTTGGCTGTTCTTCCTGCCAGACTTATTTTCTGTGTTTCCTGATAGAGCAGGGAACTCCCCACCCCAGGGGCCTTTCCAGCTTTGTTTTCCTTTCTCCTCTCAGCTTCCACCCTGACTGAGTCTTCAGCAGTTGGCATCTCACTTGGATGTGGAGCGGGAAGCTCGCATGCTTCTTGGATGCAGCCCATCCAGTTTTGTGCCTCCTCTAGGGGCCTCCAGCCATTGCTGCTCCAAACAGACCGGTGGGTGTTCGCCTGAACCAGCCCCATATTTTAGAGGAGGCAGAAAAAAATCCAGGGTGAAAAGAAGAAAAGAGAGAGAAATAAAACAAGCCAATCTGCACCTGCATGACATACTTTTCACCCCAGGCAGCTTCTGTGATGACCTGACAATGACACAGAAACCAGAAGGGCATCAAGATAACAG